GGGCCCCGCGGCCGCCGGGCTCCGCGCGCTCCTGCCCGCGCGCGCCTTCCTCTGCTCGCGCAAAGGCCGCCTCCTGCTGGCCGAGTCGGTGAGTGCGGGGGCCTGCGGGAGGAGCGTGCGCTCGGGGGCCTCGGGGAACCCCACTGGGAGGCAGGGGTGGCCGTCCAGGTGGGCAGTGCGCGGCCACAGTGCCCCGCGTCCCCGCGCCCTGCTCGCCCACGCCTCTCCTGGACGCACAAAGTTGGAGAAACTTCCCCAAGTTTACTCTGCTTATAGTGCCAGGCAGAGGCGGGGCCCGAACTCAGACCTTCCCGCAGCCCCAGAACCCACGTGTCCCAGGTGGGCCCCGTGTAGGGAAGACTAGGGGGTGACTTGGGCATCTCTTGGTTGCAGCCATCGGCCTTCCACTAGCTCCTACCCGCTGGATGGGCCCCACTTTCCACCCTCTGTTTTCCTGAGTCCAGGGAGCATCGAGCCAGGCTGGGGGTGGAGGACACACTAGAGAGACACCTGGCCAGTGGAGAGGCTTATGGTTTGGGAGGAGAACCCCCGGGATTGGGCGAGGCGGAAGGACGGCCGTGGCAGCCTGGGGTGGGAGTGGAGAGGGCCCCAGCGGGTGACTTCATCCCCCTCCTCCCCTCGTTCGCCGCGCCCCGCTCTGCTCCTTCCTCCTTCCCGCTCACCCCCACCCTGGGCCTCGGGCCGCCTTTGTCTTCCCTGCTCTCCAAAAGCTCCCGCTCTGACCGCCAGTGGCATGGCCTGGGATTGGCCCCTGGCCTGCCCGAAGAGAGGAAGAGAAGGCTGAGCAGAGGACCGAAGGGATTTGGGGCAAGCACCGAGCAGTCATTGGGTCCTTAAATCCCCTGACACTTTGTCCCAAGGGCTGAGGTCTAGGGCCACTGGATGGGTGAGAGTTGAGGATGTGAGGGCCAAGACCAGAGAGGGTATAAGGGAGTCAGAGGAGAGCCCAGCACATGTCCACTCCTTGGTGAAGGGCCAGGTCTGGACTCCCCCTGAACTCCGCAGAGTGGCCTTAAGAGACTGCCCACCTCAAACGTGTCCTGCAGACTGATGGGAGCCACCTTGGGGAAGAGAGAGACTTTGAATCCACTATCCACAGAGGGGACCCCCAGCCGGGACAGCCTCATGGGTGGAGAGAATAGAGCAGGCCCTTGGTCGCCTCTGGGCGGAGATCTAGGTCCAGGGGGATGAGGGAGAGTGGGGGAGGGTCACTCTGCACACAGGCGCTGTCTTTGTCACTTATGCCTCCTGCGTTGTCACCCCAGCCCCCACCCCCAAGCAATTAAGGAGGCTGACATGGACAGGAAGAGGGAGGAAGTGGCCAGCAGGGATTAGGGAATGAGAAAACAGGAATCCAGATGGGGAACTCCAGAACCAGGCAAGTGAGGGGTGAGGGGACAGGAAGGGGAGGCCACAGGAAAGCCTGCAGCACAGGAAGCAATGCAGGACTGTGGAAGAGACTGAGGGTCCATGGCCTGGCTTTCCTGGGAGGCCATGGCAGCCTCTCAACTTGTCCCTGAGCCCTAGTTTCCCATTTATCCTAGGAAGGTCCAGCTACTCCCATAACTACGTTCAGGGATGGGGTGCCGCAGGGCTGCCTGACACTCCCAAGCTCATTTGCCTGAGGCAATCACGGTGCTTCCTGTAGGCCACCTCAGTGTCCCTGAAGGGCCCCCAGAGCTAAGGTGGTGACCACTCTGCCACTACTTGCCTGGCCTCTGGGCTCCTCCTCAGAGTGCCCTCACCATGGTGAGGAACCAAGAAGGTAAAGGCACCCATCCCCCCTGCACCCCAGCTGTGTGGTCACCCAATCCTGGGTCCAGATTGGGGAGGGGCCCTCTTCTGTGTCGTTGAGCAGAGCACATCACTTCTGAACTTCAGTCATCTCTGTAAAGTGAGCTGTGAGTAGGGCCTGGAGAGTGGGCAGCTGTGCGGATCAGAGGACAGAAACCACAACCCTGAGCAGGAACCAGGCACAAAGAGACCCGCCCTCTTGGCCTTCCCTGCCCCGCCCACATGCAGAGCCTTCTGGAGGGCCTCAGCCCCATCAGCATCATCTGCCTTCCCCATGCCTTTGACAGGGCTGCAGGGCACATTTCCAGTCTCGGCTGTCTCCCTGGCTAGTACGAATCATTTTCTTGGAATAAATTCCCTGCCTCTGTGTAAATCCCTACCTCAACAGGGAAAAGCATGGGGCACAAAGCTAGACGAAGCACAAAGCAGGGCCGCAATGCCCATGGACCACATCCTATCCTGGATGGTTTTCCTATAAAACCTATATACCTACCACTTAAGCAGTTCTGGTGGCTTACTGGTAAGGAGTTGCACTACCAGGCCAAAGGCACACAGTTCAAATCTCCAAGAAATCTCTTCAAATCTCAAAAAGAGATGAGCACACTCCTCCCAGGTAATCTGCTTCTGAAAACCTGCTGGAGGGTCAGCTGTGAGTTCATTGGTTGTGACGCAGTGGTACACAACAACAACACACCTATCACTTACAGAGTACTATGTTTACCAGCTTGACGCTGCATCCTCCCTGACTCAAGGCGATCCTGTGTCTATCAGAGTAGATCACACCACAGGGTTTTCCAGAGACACATGACCAGGTCTTTCATCCAAGGTGCCTCTGAATGGATTTGAACTGCCATCCTTTCACATATCCACAAAGCTCTTTGACTCCTCCAAGGACTCCTTTGCTATCTGTTCCATTTGCTTTATTACAAATGTCCTAGGCTGGGTTCTCTTGAAAAGGCCAAGCAGTGAAGCAAGAAGGCAGGGTCTCAGGCTGCCGACTGTAGAGGTTCCTGCCTTCAGAAGCCGACTGCAAGTACTGCAGGGCTGATGGTTCAGGTTTGGAGATGCCATATTGTTATGTGCCATCGAGTCAGAACCAACTCTTAGCTGACCCTCCAAGCCAGCTTTTAGATGCTGTAAATCACATGACAGGCGATAACATATCTTCCACCCACAGAGCAGAGGGTGGATTCCAGCTGCCTGCCTTTGTTTTGACAACACAGTTTGCCACTAGGCCACCAGACTGCAGAAGCCAGAAAGCAGAAGTCGATCTGACAAAATCTCCAGCTTTTTGCCAGAGTTCACACATCAGTCCTGTGCAGGCCACACCCCTGAGGAGACCTCCCTTTAACCAGATACAGCCAATCAGATCATGATACTGAGGACCATGGCCACACTGGCCCAGTATTAACCCTCTCACATATGTCTCCAGGTATTGGCCCATCCATTTTCTCTTTTGAGGCATTCAGAGTAAATTGCAGCTATCAGCACATTTCAGCTCCAACCACTTCAGCAGGTGTATCATTAACTGAAATTCACCGTCTTAAAAGGTAAAATTTACACCCATGAAAGCACAACTACTAGCTGTTGGGTGGATCAGCAGTTTGAACCTACCCGACACCCCGCGGGGACAGATGACGTTGACTTTTCTAGTTAGGGTTTACCATCTTTTAACCCTACTGTAGGTTTAGCTCGGTTGGGTTGCCTATTTGGCAGGCTCCCTTGAATCTGCTTAGTTTTGATTTGTCTCTGCTGGGCTTCACGTGGTTTAGTGGGTTTTGCCACCTGCTGAGAGGAAGGGTGGGAAGCCAATTAAAGCTTTCTGATTGATTCCTTGAAGGGAACCAGAATGAGGGCTGCCTGGGTCGAAGTTGTTGCATCAGTTTTGACTCCTAGGACTCCGTGTGACAGCAAAATTGCCTCATAGGCTTTTCTAGGCTGTAATCTTAGAGATCCCAGAGCATTTAATCATGCTAATGTGAAACCTCTGCTTGGACCAAGTCATCAGAACAGAGCAGGGTAACACCGCATGGTTCCAAATTGGGAAGGGTGTACGCCAGGTGTCCTATCTCCATACCTTTTCAACCTGTATGCAGAGCACATTATCCGAGGGGCTGGTCTCTATGAGGAGAAGTGTGGTGTCAGGATTGGTGGAAGATCTATTAACAATCTGCGTTATGCAGATGACACAACCCTGCTCGCTGAAACTGGGGAGGGCCTCATGCACTTGTTGCAGAGGGTCAAGAACTGCAGCCTTCAGTATGGATTGAGGCTCAATGTCAAGAAGACAAAGATTCTAACCACTGGACCAATTGGTAGCATCAGGATGGATGGCAAAGAGATTGAGATTGTTCACAGCTTCAGTTTGCTCGGCTCCACTGTCAACACTCTTGGCACCAGCAGCCAGGAAATCAAAAAACATATTGCGATGGGACAGTCTGCTGTTAGAGACCTCTCTAAAGTACTCAAGAGCAATGCTGTCTCTCTGGAGACTAAGGTGCGCCTGATACAGGCCATGGTTTTTGCAGTCACTTGTTATGCATCAGAGAGTTGGACAATTACTAGGGAGGATAGAAGGAGAATTGATGCCTTTGAACTGTGGTGCCAGAGAAGAGTATTGAATGTACCTGGACTGCCAAGAAAACAGATTCATCCTAGAGAGGGTTAAACCAGGCTACTCCTTGGAGGCAAGGATCCTGGGGCTTCATCTGACATACTTTGAACATGTTGTAAGGAGAGACAGGTCCTTGGAGAGGGACATCATGCTTGGGAGGGTGGAGGGACAGCGCAGGAGGGGAAGACCCTCTATGAGGTGGATTGATTCAGTGACTGGGGTGATCGGGATGGGTGTGTCGGAGGCAGTGCGATTGACACAGGATAGAGCAGGGTTTAGGGCTGTTGTACATAGGGTCGCTGTGAGTCGCAAACGACTCTATGGCATATAACAACAACAACAATCTTAGAGATCACCAAGTCTGTCTCCTGCAGAGCCCCTGGCTGGGTTTGAACCTCTAGGTTTTTGGCTAGCAGCACAGTGTTTAACCATTGTGCCACCAGGACCCCGTGGGCCTCATGCTTGAGCGCAAATCCTGAGTGCTCACGAGCACAAGTGTATCTTCCTGCTGGAGCCCCGTACCCTCCTATATTCCTGCCCACCAGACAGGAAGGCTCTGACTTCGTCCTGCATCACCCCTACCCCCAACAGGGTCTCTCCTTCATCACGTTTGTTTGCTATGTGGCGTCCTCGGCCTCTGCCTTCCTCACAGCACCACTGCTGGAGTTCCTGCTGGCCCTCTTCTTCCTCTTTGCTGATGCCATGCAGCTGAATGACAAGTGGCAGGGCTTGTGCTGGCCCATGATGGTGAGGGCTGGGGCCCTGGGAGAAAGGGGTGGGCTGCCTCCTGAGGAGGGGCCCCATCACACTGCACAGAGGAGGAAGCCAGCGTGTATTTTGTTCCTTTTCAGCTCAGACCCTTTCCTCGGGGATTGGAGGGGGTGTCTGTAGTTGATTAGAGCCAGGTGAAGAGACTAGGGTTCAGTCAGCAGGGCTTCAGCACTCCACGTCCATGAACCTGGAGAGAGTGGCCCCAGCCTCCAGTGACGGGGAACGCAGAGACGGTCCCTGGCCACCAGGGGGCGCTACTGCTCCCAGCTGGGCCTGCAAGGAATGAGCCTCAGCCGCAGGAATTCAAGCCATTTCCACAAGGGCTGGGCGGATTAACTGAGGACTTGCAGGGTTTATCCTGCCCCCTATACCATCTGGCAGCCCTGGCCTCCTTTTAATCACCTGGGGGTTCCCAGAGCCCCTGGCCTTTGGACTCAGCCTAATGAAATGCAGTCCAGGAAAGGGAGACTAGAGACCGACTTGAACCCTAGTCTCCTGGTTTTATTAGCCAGCATTCTCCCACCTGCCTGGGGAGGGCCCGAGGGCCACACCCTTTGCCCCATGAGCACCAGAAACCCCAGTGCAACTAGACCTGCCACATGTACCTCATTTGACAGCCAGCGAGGAGCACCTGATGGGCTGCAGCCTGGCTATGCCCAGCTGGACCGGAGGCAGGGTGACCTCAGCTCCTGGCAGCCAGCAGGACTGAGAGACGCCTGGGCAGGAGTGGACATGGGAGGAGAAGGGAGTGCAGGTGGGACCCGGATAGGACATGAGCACCTAGGGCCTGGGCGTGGGGGGGCCAGGTGTACGCCCACTCCTGCCACTCTGGTGTCCTTTCCCCAGGACTTCCTGCGCTGTGTCACCGCGGCCCTCATCTACTTCGCCATCTCCATCACGGCTGTCACCAAGTACTCTGACGGGGCTTCCAAAGTGGCTGGGGTGAGTCACTGCGGGAAGCTCTGGGAAGGGGTTAGCCAGGACAGCCCCCCTTGAGCTTGTTGTCCCCAGCAGCCCCACTGCATGTCCATTTGGTGTGGATCCTGGACCCCAACTGTTTAGATTCACGTGGCCAGCCCCGTGTGGAAGGCTGTCACCAAACCAAATAGAAAACTCATTTCCCCATTTATCATGAATCAGAGGGGTCTCTGTCCACCTGGCCAAGCTGTGTCCAAGCAGGAAGTGGCCTGTGCTTGCCACCTGGTCACTGCTATCCACTGTGCTCCACAGGTGTTTGGCTTCTTTGCTACCATTGTGTTTGCAGTTGATTTCTACTTCATCTTCAATGACGTGGCCAGATTCCTCAGACAGGGGGACTCCACAGATGAGGCCCAGGCAGGGACCAGTTGCTCCCACCCGAAGTGGTCAGAGGCAGGTCGTAACAAAGGTGAGTGGAGCCAGAAACCCATCTGATGACCCCTAGGACAGAGGCGACTGCTACAGTGAGGCGTCTACATCGCAACCTCCCTGGGACCTCTGGGTTAGTGAGCTTGGGTTCCCTTGGCGAGTTACTGATCACAAACTCGTCCCCTGGGGTGCACAGGCTCCCTGGGGCCCCAGCCTTTCCAGGAAGGGCAAGCCAGGGCATCCCCCACCCCTGCACTCCCGGGTGAACCTTGTCTCTGTTGGTCACAGCTGTCACCTGCCCTGGGAGTCACCTGGTCACTGGGCCGACTCCCTCTACAGTCTCCCCAGCCCAAGGGAACCACACGTTGTCCTCACTGGCAGCACCCACTTTAGTTTTAACCGCCAAAGAGTGTCACATTATGACCCCTTGGGCCCTCCCCCTCCCTGGTCACCAGCTCAGAATGGCTGCCAGGCCAATGCCTGATTTAAACACAACCAAAGTGGAAAGTGGGGTGACTAGCCTTTTGCAGGTGACAGCACAGCCCCGCCATCGGGCCACGTCTTGAAGGTGTTCTGCCCTGCATGGGGTGAGGCATGTGACCTGGGATGTGCAAAGGGGGTTGAGGGGACATCGGCTGGATTGGAGGCTTGGCAGTCAAGTTTTCCACAGTCCCTGCCCAGGGCAGCTGTGTCAGGAAGTAGGGAGGGATCCCCCCTGAAGGACAGGAGGAACAGAGGAGGCAGAGGCTGAGAGGGAAAACAGGCACTGGAGGGTGTAGCCATTCCCCATCCCGCCCCCCCACTCCCTGAGAGGCACTCACTCCCAGCTCCGTGGCCCCTGCACCCTCCTGGGCCTTGTGTCTGGCACGTTGAACCTGACACCTGCTGGCATGTCCCTGATCTGGCACCAGGTCTCTGCCAATGGGCAAGGCTGGAACACCTGCCCTTGGGGAACTCGGTGCCCAGCCCAAGAGGGAGTTGGAACCTAAGGGGCATTCGCTGTTTATACTTGGGGGGCTGTGCTTGAGTAGGTATCAGGGAGCACCTCCCAGATGGGGCAGAAATGGCACCAGAATGCACACAGGAGGTGGGGTAGGTGGAAGGAGGAGCACAGTTGTAAAGAGCAGGTGCCCCTGTGCAGATGAGCAGCCGGAGATGCCTCTGGCGACAGCAGGAGGGAACGTGTCTGGATAGGTTGTCCAGGGCGTGGAGGCTCTTCTTGGGGGTGGGACCGTCCCTGCAGGGCACCTGTTGCCTTGGCAGTAGCACCAGCCAGGCAGTTTCTGAACCAGCACCATCTGAACAGCTAGACTTTGGGGGCCTTGGGGATCTGTGCACCCCAAAAACTTCATCACAAACAAGCTTATCCCCTGTATGGAAGTGAATACTGTGTTACATGTTCCCAGATGTTTTCTTTAGGCCTTGCAACCTGCCACCAGGTGTTGAGGAGCTCTGGTGGCACAGTGGTTAAGTGTTCTGCTGCAAGCCCAGGGCTTTGTGGGAGAAAAGAGTGGAGAATCGGCTTCCAGGTCAGAACCTGGGATGCTGCTTCATGGGGCAGCATTGCCGAGTCTACCAGGCTTTTGAGTTTTTCCATGTTTGAGTTCTCAGGTTTATTTTTTGGACAAGAAAATGGTTGCTGGAGGGAGAGGGAGACAGGTGGGGTTAAAATTCAGCTGTGGGACCCTGAGGACCCCCCCCCCCGATGGGGACAGCTTGGGATACTTATGGGGGCACTTTAGCATCATTTCAGGGGAGCACCACCGCCCCCACAGCACACACTTGGTGGTGGACCGAGCTGCCTGTGGGGGTCCAGCATGGGCTCAGCACAGCATGGCAGCTGCTTCACGCTGAGCACTTGGCTGCTGGGCGCCTGGTTAGCTGTGAGTCCTGGAGGCTGTCCCTGCCCTGGAAACTCCGGCCAAGCATCCTCTCTGCTTTCCTTTCAGAAGAGAATTCCGACTCCGACTCCGACTGAAAGTCCGCCCGCCCGCGCCTGGTGAGCCTGGACCATCGGGCCTTCCCTCTGCACTGCCTGCCCTGGCCGGCCACCTGCCTGACCAGGGGACACCGAGTTGGAAGGATGCTCGATACTCGCAGCAGCAGCAGCAGGCTGACCTGGGCCTCCCTCGGCCTCCAGGTGTCCATTCCGAGTCTAGTGTCCATGACCCCTTGGCTCAGCACCATTTAACCACTGTGCACATGCGGGCATTTCAGTGTCCCAGCCCACACTCGTCCCTGTCCTATGAGCCACATCCAATTTTAGCCCCTTTCCTAAAACAAAAGCAAAACCTCCAGTTGTCATCAGAACTCAGTGTCAAGGGGAGGCTGGAGGCCGTGGGGCCCATCTGTCCACACTGGGGACAAAGCAGAGAGGCTCCATTGCAGGGTCACCTCCACGGCCTCGGCTGCACTTGATGCAGCTGGTCAGCAGGCAGTGTGTTGAGCATTCTCTCTCAGGAGTAAAGGTCAAGGGGCAGGTCTTCCCTTTCAAAACCTCATCTTCTAGAAGAATGGGTCTCAGCACCTCTGACACCCTCACCCTTAGACACAAATTGACTTCTTAGGTGACATGGCTGTATCCTCATAAAGCTCGTCCGCTGGTTGACCAGGTTCAGAAGACAGAGCAGACGGGTCACGGGCAGCTGGGCAGGCCCAGCCACACCCTCGCTTCCTGGGACACTCAGGATGATACACTTCTAGACGCCAGAGCAGGTCGGCTGACCTTCTCCTGAGGGATGAGCCTTCGGTGTCACCAGAGGACGTAGATGTATATGAATCCTCATCGGATTTTGGTAACTTTGTATCTGGATTTTGGTAACTTTGTATCTTTTTTAAAAAAATACAAATCTTTTTAACAAATGGCATTTCCTGTGACCCTTGTGAATGAGCCAGAGTTCTGGGCCTTCGTAGCCCTGTTCTTCTCTTGCATGTGAATCCTCTACTCTGAGTGAAGCCATGATGGAATAAACCGGACTGACCATCAGCTCCAGGCGTCTGTGTGTATGAGCAGGGCTGAGGTGAGTGAGGGTGAGGACAGAAAACAGATGGTAATGGTTTTTCCATGTCCATTTATTAAACAACTCCTTCATGACAATTTAATACAATATTTATTATGATTAGTGTTGAGAAAATTATTTCCCTCTACATACAAAAATACAGTTTTGAACACTATGAAAACAATCAGGACAAGTACCATGAAAAAATTGGTCCTTCAAAGGAAACAAAAGGGGACATTGAGGGCAGTGTGAGGCTTTGTCTACTTTTGGGGGCTAACAAGGAGCAAAGTCTCGGAAGCCCCCCAAAGCCACGCCCCACGGACAGAGTCCACCCCGGCGGGTATCCCACACACGGTGCTGGCGGTGGTGTGTGGCTGACCAGCAATCAGCATAAGCCAGCATTTATCAGATGGGCAGCACCTCAGAAGGCCCAGAGCTGTGTCTTCAAAGTGTGAAAAAGAAACAAAACAAAAAAACAACACCAAACCCACAAAACCCCTTAACATCAAATCCTAAATTATGAAATCACCCGCCCACCCAAAGTGCTAATGGGCAGAGTACCAACGAGTAATCATTATGTTGGAGTTACTACATAGCCACCTGACTTGACTTCCTTTACAGAAGAGCTACATAATCTGACCCTTCCAAGAAGACAAACAAAAGGCAGCTCCAATGTCTGGACAGAGCGGTGCCTTCACGCGGCGATGGCTCAGCCAGCTCGCTCAGAGTTTTCTGGACCAAATACAACCACCGCCCCTCAAGGGTCAGGGGAGACGGGCAGTGGTGTGACCTCTGGCCTACATAGGATTAAGCTGCTCATGGCAACACGGGTTTTGTCTGGGCCAGAAGCCTAGAAAGGGCCGCCCGGGATGTCCCCGAACCAGTCTGAAATCGGAGAGGAAGGGGAGACCGGGGGAGGCCAGCCCTGAGCTGGGCCCTGGGAACCACCAGGCCAGAAAATACCTGGCTGGCCAGCCCGCAGCCACCAGGGAGCGGCCAGGCAGGAGGACACAGCAGCGCCGCCCTGGGTTGGTCTGATCCAGAACCACCTTCCTGTGCGGCTCCAGCCGAGCGGGGGTGCTCCACGATGCCCACGGGGGTCAAGAATGAACGCCAAGTGCAATTATGCTGATTGGTACCTATTTCACAGAAATAGACTCTCACTCTCAGACTAGGTATGCAGAAAGGAGATGGTGGGGTGGGAGAAGGGCAAAGCCGATTGTGTTTCCTTTTTAAAAATATACGTGAAGTCAAAGGGAAATGGCCAGACCTTAAAACCGGCATTGCTGAAAGCATTATTGAAAGGACACGATCTAAAATCAGGCTACAAAAATAGTGTTATCTGGTTTAACCAAATGTACATTTTTTTTTCAATCCTATGATTGACAAGAGTGCTTATGTGACACATGGAAGGCACCAGGTGAAGTGATTATAATTTGTCTTAAACTATACAGAGACAGGATTGCCTACTTTGGAGGAGGGGGGAAGACAGCCATGCTTGTAATAAATAGTTTATGGGTTTATCATAGGTTCCTGAACTCCTACAAAATTCAGTATACACAGATACCCTCCACTTCCAGCATTCTGGGAAAGGGAGTCATCTCAAACAAGATGAAGCTATGAAATGCACTGGTTTTATCCAAATACATCCAAATAGACTTCGCTGGGGGTACTTCTCAGCCCCTGAGAATTTGCCCTTCTCACGTGCACAGAGCGTGTCTAACAGTCTCAGCACTTGGAAAACCAACTGTGACCAAGGGGAGAAGGGCCTGTGCTGGACAGCAGACCTCAGCCAGGCACCGCCTCTCGGGGACACCGCCCACGGCTGCCCTCATCGGCTGGCCATTCCTTCCAGTTGCTTTCCTGATAAAAGAGGCCATTTCCTCCTGGGCATCAGCAGTGTCATCTAAAAAGACAACTCTGTCCGCGCTGCTGCTATCAGACCATGAGCGAGTGAGTCCCACGCAAGCCACCATCAGCGTACCCTTCTCCTTTCAGGCCGCGCTATGACCATCTCAGGCCTCCGCAGAGCTAACTCATTCAGGAAGTGCTCGCTAACTTCTTACTCTTGCTAGAACCTTCACTCCCCTGATCCAGGCAGGATTACTACCTTAACCAAAGGCTGACGGACCATCATGTGTGACACATCCTAACACAACTAGGCCTCTTCAGGGTGTCTAGTTAGCCAGCAAAGTCTTGGCATAAAGAATGCAGACCAGAAACTCACCTCCCTATAAGACAAGTAACACCTGTCAAGGATCCATAATCTCGATTTGATAAGATGCAAGTTGCCGTTGACGGAAACCCATAGGCTTATGAGTAATTTCTTTACTGTTGAAAAGGGAAATAAAAAATGCCAAAGGTTGAGAACTGATACCTGAATGGAAAAATACAGAGAGAAGAAAAAATGGGCTTTACTAGAGCGAAGAAAAGTCATCTTCAGAAGAAAAATCTAGAAGATCTAACACAATTGAGGATAGTTTCTTTCAGATACAGTTTCTACATGTCAGAAATAGAGAAGGTTAGGATCCTAATAAGGAGGGAAGAAATGAGAGATTGTGTCGAGTCATTCAACGTTTAGATGACTCAAGGCTGAGTCCATCCTAAGAAGCCTGCTGACACCAGATCCCAGGTCACCTGTCCAGATGGCACAAGTCCCCAAATTAGCCACCAAGAGCTCTCCCACAGAGCCGAGAACACTGGCCCCAACGAGTTCTTCCCCCCAAGCTGATTCTGGGACACATGACCCCACATTTCCAAAGGCGAGAAAGAGAACAGGAAAGTTGAGAGCCAAGTTCATTTCTCATGCCAGCCTGGGTTTGTAGACATGCCTGAGTTTTCCTATTTCCAACTTCCTGCAGCAGACGGGGCCTGAGTGAACTGGTCAGGGCTGCCTCGTCCCTGGCCTGAGCTCACAGCCCAGCATGGTAGTCCCACAAGCTGTCACCCAGCTGGCCCTGACCTCACAGCCCAGCAGGGCAGTCCCCTAAGCTGTCACCCAGTTGGTCTTAGGAGTGTGAGCAGGGAAAATAACAAGGCTCAGGGGAAGAGAGAGGCTCCGCATCTTCTGTCTTCCCTCAGAGCTAAAAACCCCTCCAGAGACCTCCCCAGCTGAGGGTGGCGCCCAGGGCCGGAAGCTCTCTCTAGCCTGCTGGGGAGACTCAATCAGCAGCTGATGCCCTAGAAAGTTCTCTTCTCCTTTTGCTACCTATCAAATGCCATCATGTTCCTGGAGTCAAGAGAAAACTGACACTTGGATGCTGGTTTCACGGTTGCTTTGCTTTTAAGAGTAGGGGCTGGTGCGGTGGGAGCCCCTGACATCATCCCCCCCCCCAACTGGCAACACTGAACTCTCTGCTCCACTCTCTCTCAGCTCCAGCTGCATTAAGTCAGGCCCTAGGACTAACACGCAGACAGTCCTGCACCGACAGGACTGCACCTTAGTAGAGGTGTAGCTATGGAAACTAGCGACTCCGGCAAGTACATAAATTGTGCCCCTTGGGGGTGTGTGGAGGGTAATGAGTGCCCAGGGGCAATCTCTCAGCTGTGCACAGGCTCAGGTGCTGACACAATTTCAAGCTAAGCGGCCGTCAATGACATCTGCAGAAACCCCTTCACCCTCTATCAGGCTGCCTCACTTGGGCGCCTTCATATTTGTGGTGTATTGAAGGAGTCTCCCTCCATGATTTGTCTGGTGGCCCCGTGGACCTGACCTGGAGGCAACTGGCCCTTCTTTTACCCCTTGATATCTGCGGTGCTTGAGGAAGAAGGTCAAGTTGTATCAAGTTCATAGACGCTGTTGAGTGGTGCCCCCTGCAGGTGATAACCAGAACACAGGCTGTATCAAAGATCTGCCTCTGGATGTTGGTTCACCTCTGAGAACAGAGAGACAGGTGAGGGATACCTTCCCAGATCATATGTGCGCGTCTACAGGAGATGCAAGCGGGGGCCACAGGGAGGCCTGGCACAGACACCGGGCTCTGCAGGGCCTCCTCCCTGCAGACGTGTGGACGAGTTACAGCTTCGCCTCTCAGGGATCCCCTGTGCTGTATCCCAAGATGAAAGTAGTAAAGCTTCTAAAAAACCCATAAAACAGCAAAACTATGAAAGAGGTGCAACGCACAGAGCTGAGTTATGAAACCGGCCAGAAACAGGCAACACAGGGACAGCCCACAGCCGCTGACAGGCTGTGCTCCCGGCTCCTTTACGGCCTGTAGCTCCTGCTGCCCAGGAAGACATCACGACGGGGACTGGCCATCTACCCCCTTCTTGTTTTTTCTGCAGGCAAAGGTGATTTACTTTGGACAGCTATTACTGCAGAGGATAACATTCTACTTGCTTTCCTTTAAATCAAACCTCCCTGACAAAATTCTAATCCATTAACAGCCTCTGCCTCTCCCAGCTTTACTGAAGTATTGGCCAAGAAGGATCTTTAATCTTTCATGATTGTAATCACTCTGTCGGAAATGGAAAAGGAACTTCCTGCACGGGAAGGAAGAAGAAGGAGAAGAGGAGGGAAATGACCAGATAGATGCCCACAGACCTGATGAGTGTCGAGATAAGCCTTCTGTGGAGACGGCGGGCATGCACCGATTGAAACGCATCAGAGCCCACCACGGTCCCTACTGCACTGGACGAGTCCAAATGGACACGGCAGTGCTAAGTTTAGCTCAAACGACTAAAGTCTGTCCCAGTGACTTGGAGGAAACTAAGGTTGCCACACCCTTAACGTGCCCCAAACCAAGCTGGCAAAAGCCCACAGTGGGGCTAGTGAATACATCCTTCAATTCACTGAGGGGTGGTCGTTTTAAGCCCACCCCCAAAACTGGATTGTCTTCTGTTGATGCATAAAGGCAACACGAGGAAGATGCAGGTGTCCTCCTCACCAGAGAGACATGCTCCCTCTGTAACTTCTCAGCACCCCGTCTAGATGGGCCGAGACAGGAGGTTGCACATCACAGAGAAGGTCTGCATGGCCACATCCAGGTCTAGTGGGAGTGACTTCAATATAGTGAAAAACACTGACCAGAACTAGGGGAGGGGAAGCCTCATGATATAAAGGATATTAAATAGTTACAGGAATATAAATAATTCAAACGACACTGACTCTGGAATTGCCCTCTGTCCTCTGTCAGCACTAACAGTCTCCCCGGCTTCAGAACTGTTTGCTGCAGCAGAAGATACCACCTCAGGGGGCCAATTGATTGTCTCTTTCTCGCCAGATGATAAGCTGGCTTTACTGAAGTGACTCAGGAAACCGGACTACAGTCCTGCCTGAACGATCTTCTTTTTCTCAAACTCGCTTCAGAGGCAGCTTGCTGTGCAGGCCCTGTAATGTGACTCCCAGCAGGAGATGTCTGATAGGGCCTTCCTTCCAAGGAAGGGGGACGACATTAATGCAAGGCTGAGTCTCTGTGACCCTGTTTTTAAGTGGATAATAATTTTCTCTCCCAGAGAGAGAGAAGCCCAATTCTGACTATGCGCGTGCGCGCGCACACACCCCTCCCTCAACAAATGTGAAATAAATACATGAAATGAACAGACGAAGCCCCGATGTCGTTATCTCCCCGTAAAATCACTGCGTACTGGGGCGCTGAAGTTTGGGAAGCTTGGGGTGGTGCTGGCTCACAGGGCGCGTGGACAGAGGGCTCCCAGCGGTGGGCGGCACCAGCTAGGACGAGCAAGGGATGGTGACCATCCACCAGCTGGGCGGGGCCTGCACTAGCTGCCGTGGCCCCGGGAGCAGCCAGGGTGCTCACACCGGTGGCAGGGGCCACCCACGGGAGGAACTAGACCAGAGCTCGGGTTGTCCTGAATGAATGCTCCGTTCAGGGAGCTGAACCCTCTAGCACCTAACCCTTCGGAGACAGCACGGTGCCACATCCTGTCGAACCCCTACCCAGCAGTGCTACCTGATCAAACCCCTGCCCTCTGAAGACACGGCCTGTGGTGGATAAACTCAGTGCCGCGTGGACACAGACACACGTGCTTCCCTGCCTGCTGCCTGGACACACCTGTCCCTCTCGCTCTCAGAGTCGCTCCACGGGGACCTGTCGAAAGCTGTGATCAGTCATCTCCATGTCACTGTACATTTTCCCCGCCTGCAGTAAGTGTGTTTTCCTGGACGAGGGCTAAGAGCCGGAGTGAAAAGTCTGTAAACATTAAAAAAACAGCTCAGAGGGTGAAAACCCAACAAATCAAAACTGTTTCTCCTAGAAAAGATATGTGATTAATCTCCAATAAGCGGGGAGGGGGAAAAAACCCAACCAAATACAAAAAACCTAGAGCAACTTAAGAGCTTGGTGACGTCATTCTTCACAAATAAACATCTTCACTTCATTAAGAATTCAATCAAAATCCTTAAGTAACCAGAATTATCCCCAACAACCTACGTTCATAATTATAACCCCAAGGCACCGGAAGCTGTAGCAGTGCCTTCTGAAATGTCACTGAAAGGACGTGTCAAGGCGCAAATTCAAGTATTTAAAATTCTAGACAATTCTACGCAGAAGCACTTGAGGATTTTCCTCAGGTGTCCACACACATCCCCTAAAATGAAGGGGTGCATGTGGATTTGTAGCATGCCCCGCCCGGCCGGTAGCCCCTGACACCGTCACATGGGCACACACTCTGGCTGGTGGCATGGACCACATTCCTTTCCCGGCTTCCACCTGAGAAGGTTAATGTGACAGGAAACCCAAAGTGCAGCCTCAAAACAAGACTGTCCCCATTCCTAAAGAAGATTCTGGAATTCAGGAAAGTGATTCGTTTGAGGAAGAATCAAGTGATTTCTCAGCAGGGCAGGAAACAAAGGGTGGCCCTCGAACGAGTGAGCAGTGGGGCAGAGCTGTCCGAGGGGACGCCAGCTCTCCACAGCCCCGGAGGCTCTGGATCCAGCAGCGTTCAACCAGTACGTCCTCCTGCTGAGACCTCCAGGGTCCCAGGTGGCCTTCCAGGCTGGGGCTGGCTCTCTCGATGCCCAGGTGAGGAAGACAAGGAGGAGGTGAGGA